GTGCGGTTCCCTTCGTCTCCCGTGGCCGTCTCCTTGGTTCCTGGTTTGGGTGTAAACCGAGAGCTTTGGGGGGAGATTTCTATGCTTTTAATTATGTGTTAATTAAGTGTTTGTGACCTTTTGTATTCCCCTTTCATACCTATAAATATGGGGGGTTATGTAATGTTTTGAATAGTTGAATGATATTTGATTTTTGGAAAAAAATCAGTTAACCTGCTGGTTGCTCGGAAATCCTGCGGGCTCTTTCCAACCTTCTTTTCTCATCCCTTCCGGAAATCCTGCGGGCTCTTTCCACCCTTTCTTCTCGGGCTTCTAATCTCTTCGTCTCTCCGCAAGTGCCACTCCACCTGTATCCTTCTTCTCAAAGTGCAGCAACTTTAGGGTGTCTGTCGTGTTGTTTGTTAGTCGTCGTCATAGTTTTTTTTATTTGGTTGTTTTTTTAAAATTTGAAATATAAGAGTTTGTTCTTCCCTTTTGTTGATTTTCTAGTCTTTTCTCTATTTTCGTCGTTAGAAGTCCGTCGTGTCTTTTGTGGGCGAAGGGTATAGGCTCCCTGTATCTTTTGCCCGCATCAGTAGTTCCAACTTGTTGCAAGCTGCTGTGCACGAAATTTTAAATGAAATCAGCAAGTCAATAAAGCGTTATAAATCTTAGCAGGAATCCAAAGTAGAACTTTTGAATCTGCTTTTTTCATCAGTTCTGGATAAAAGGCCATATCCAATCCAAGCTTACGTTCTTACTCGCACTGCCTCTTTTTTGCATTTGCATAGTTATCTCTTAAATAAAGGAAAATCCAAAACAAGTTACCTAGTTACCTCGTGTCATTGTCTTGTTTTATTTCAGGAAGTTTAGCCCCATGAATTAAGCATAAAAAATTATCACATTAGATTTTCTCAGTCCAAATTTATCCCAGGTGTTTTTTTAGGGCTACAAAAAATGATTTGATTCTTTTTATAGTATGGGGTTGTTTGATTGCAATTATTTAGAATTCAGGGGTATTTTAAAGGCAATATATTTGAAATTTAGGAGACTATTTTTTTTTGTTTTGTTTAAACTAATAAAAATGAGAATTAAAATAAAAATAATCTTGGTGAGATAAATTCAGAAAGGAGATTATGATGGGGGAGACAATGTGCTAAGGAGAAGAGAACGAGTGCTTGTTGTAGAAGCACTAATGGGATCAATAACATGTGAGGGAGGAGAGATTGTCCTGTGGAGCTCGTTGGGGTGGCATGTGGAGGAGAAGAGGAGATCGAGAGCTGTGAATTTTGAAATCATCTTCTTTGTGTGATTTAGGAATATGCTCAATATGAACTAAGTGATGAGTTTTAAATTTCTCATAAAAATACTCTAGATTTATTTTTCAATCAATCAAAACTTTAATTTTCAATACTTATGCCTTTGCAATACAGCACACTCAAAATCTATTCAAAGAAACAACCCCAATGTCACGTGCATCTTTGGGGATTGAGTGTCACACCCCAGTTTGGCTTACCCTCTAACATTCAAACTGGAGTATAACAGAGAAGGAAAGAAATCTATTTAGGCTTTCTTAACATGTCAACCTATCAACTGCAAACTTCATAATGAGAAGCATATATATACTTTACTGAACATCGAACATAATTAAAACAAATACAGAGCTCCTGAATAAGACATTGGGAAGTTGTTATTTGTATCCTTGGTACATTAAGTGGCTCTTAGGAAAATGAATCCCTTACACCATGAATGGACATCCTAATATAAAAGCCTTCTCTGATGCTGACTTTGTTAGATCAATTGATAATATAAAATTCCCATCTTGGTATTACATATTTGTCAGAGGTAACGTTGTCACAAGGAAAAGTAGAAAAAATAAACAATGGTGGCTAGGTAAAGTGTGGAGGCAAAACACTGTGCCATGACACGCTCCATGTGTGAGATGATGTAGGTGAAAAAACTTCTATAGGAATTTGGTTTTTTTACTACATGGCTTATGGTCTTATATCGAGACAACTATCTAAAATTCATTGGTGATAATCTAGTATTACATGGAAAAATCAAACATATTGAGATTGTCTGCTATTTTATTGTGAATGTTGTGCTATCAAAGAAATTTGTTACTCATGTTTCCAGTGGAGAACAACTTGTAGGTATATGCATCAAATGTTATGTCATTCAATTTTTGAAAATATGCAACAATCTTGAATTAACTTGTATATGTGCTCTAGCTCGAGGAAGAGTATTAACCTGTAATGGCTAGTGGTCCTTATTTATTTGGTTGTCCTTCAGGACATTGTATTCTCTTCTATTATAAGCAGGAGATCCTTATACTGAATAAACATTATATTTAGTTCCTCTCAATAGCTCCTTCCAGATTGAATGGCTGTGCTTGCCTGTGACCTTGATGATGCGTTCTATAAAGTGGGCATTGGAAAAATGCTGCAACCTATCCCATCGTGAGCATTTGATCTAGATTTTGGTGTTTCAATTGTTCTGGAGGATTGTGCGCTCTTATTCTTTAGATATTCGTTGTGTAAACATGTTATTAGTATGTAGATGAAAGTTATGGGCTGCTTCCGCGACATTGTTGGCAGCCTTGTCTTAACTCTTTGAAAGATGTTGGGAACAATGGCAGAGAAAAATAGTTAAGGTGGAGAGTGGTACTGAGGAAAACATGTTGGAAATGGACGGGAAGATGATATAGGCTTGTAGAATCCCAAACAAGGTCACAAATTTGGCGAGCAATCGGTAAGGATCTAAAACTATATAGACCTACATGTAAACAGAACAGTGAAAAGTATTAACCCAAAATATTATGATGTACTTATCGTTGTCTAAACAGAATAGTGAAAAGTATTAACCCTTTACATTGTTTATTTCATCTGCGGAGATCACTTTTTATGAAGTATTCCTATAAAATAAACCTTATTTTGTACAATTATTAGTCTTCAATAACTGGATATTGTTGAATCTTTATTGTTGCCTCAATTTTTCCTCTTTCTATTCACATGATGGATCAAAATGATAGTGATAATTACCTTTTCATGCTTATGTTGATTCAATTCTTTCGTGCAGGGAACTTGCAAAGGATTTTGTGGTTGCTGGAACAGCTTCCGAGTCACTTTATGGTGCTTGTGAGTCCATGTACAAGTCTGACATGGTTAGTTTACTTTCTTGATTGAGTGCTTGTCATAATTGGCAACCTCGATCAATTCTTTCAGAATTACCGAGGCCTTTTCAAAAATCCGCATCAGCAACATTTTTTTTTGAAAAAAAGTATAATTTACAGTTAAAGCATTTAAAAATTGGTTAATGTCAGTATTTTTAGTCTGTAGAATATGAGCGGGGATTATACCAGCCTGCATTTATGTTTTCAGCATTATTTTTTTAAGCAAGGATTTAAACCTTTGGCACTGTTTGTAGAAGTGCAATACCGCTCTGCAAAGTCTTTAGTGTTAACAGATTTTAGCTATAACTCTAAAGAATTCTGTTCTGACAGATGCTATAGATCCCAAGGAAATGCACTTTCTAATTGAAACAATTGTCTAAAGTGGGCAGACCTATTATTACGTACTCATACTAGAAATATACGTCATTTCTCATCTACTTAATAGACTTCAAACAAAAGAGAACTTAATAGCAGCAGAAGAAATGGATAAGCTTAAAACTATTTTGGTTTGTTTTTTTTTTCTATTCCAAACTTGTTGTGTTTTTAATGTTTTGATACTCATGCATATATTGATACGCTTTCATTGTGTATCATGCTGCCCAAGGAACCTGAGGAGCTTTTTGAGACTATTTCACAAGCATTACTTGCATCTGTGGATCGTGATTGTTTAAGTGGCTGGGGTGGCCATGTCCTATTTGTGTAAGTGCATTTTGTTTCTTTTGCTAAGCTGTTGAAATTTTTTTCTTGTTGATTTAGTTTATTACTTCTATAATGTAGATGAAGCTGTTTTTGTTACAAGGACCTTTATTGGTATATCATTGGCCCGTAGAGGACTTTCTAGAGAATGACAATCCTAGATGTTTTTGTGATATTTCTTATCAACTTAAAAGCAATTTAACTTACTCGGGAAAAGTGCTATTTCAATAATTAAGCTTTTCTTTCGATAGCACCATATGGTAAAAACATGATGCATTTAAATTCTACAAATTTCCGAACATGCTACTCTAGTTACACATTGAGATGATGGATGGTCCGCTACTAAGACATTTTTACAATTTGTTTTGGCATCTGCATAAATGTTTTGCTTTTCTTTGTTTAGTAGCATTTTATATCTTATGTTTTCTTCATTTATTTTTAGAGAAGACATGCCTTGTTGGGAGAAGTTCACTTGTGAGAGCAATGTTGAACAGGGATGAAAGAGGGTGATATGAAGCAAGGATTAAAATGAAATGCTATGAGAAAACAAAAAAAAATAGTGGACACAATTTATATAGTTGTCAATATAATCTTCTGCATTCACGACTACACAGAGATGTTTCACAACTTCATATATGAGTACTTTAAAACCGTCACTCTAGCTCTCATATATTCCTCTTGCTTTTTCCTCACTTGTTTTCATCTCTTTTTTTGAATATCCATCCTGTCTTTCTCTTGTTCTAAACCCAACCAACATAACAAATCTGAAAATTTCAATAAACAACACCTAACAACCAATAAATTAATACAACAATAACAACAGCAACAACATTAAGCCTTTATCCTGTTAGATAGTTTATAGCCAGCATAAAATTTGTTGAACAATCATGACATGAATTACTTAACCTAATAAATTAATAAAGAATCAAAATTATACACACAAACACGTACATACATTGAGAGGTAGACTGACTCTCCCAGAAACCCTAGATACTGCTAGGAACTCACAACAAATACTAAGAAAATAAATTCAGCCATATCATGCCCCAAACCATAGACAAACTTCCCCTTAAAAAGCTCTAGAAAACAATAACACAATCAAAACCTTCCTTAATTAGCATAAACATAATTTAGGAAATCTTTCTAAATAAATAGAATCTTCCTAATGAACATAAACATAATTTATGAAACATCCCTAAATAATTAAACATGATTAGGAAAATATTTCTAAATAATTAAATATGATTTAGAAAACTTTCTTAAACAATTAAATATATTTTAGGAAACCTCCTAAATAAATTTTCTTAATTATGAACTTTCCTAAATAACTCCCTCTTTATTAGGAACCTTCCTATATAGCTCCTGCTTGGTTGTACCCCCCCCGCCCCCACAAAAAAAAAAGAGTATCAATACTCCCTCCCAAAAAATACACCTTGTTCTCAAGGTGGAAGGATGAGAATTGTCTTCTGATCAGCTCGTAAAGTTCCCATTTGGCTTCGTGCTTTGACAAATTATTCCACTTGATAAGTACCTTCTGAACAATAAACCCATGATACTAAGAATGAATGGCAACTTTTTGTTAAGGGGAACAAAATGTACGACACACTTAAGCATAATAGACTCGGTTGGGACATTATCTTGATGGATGCTGTAAAAGAGCCCTTTGGTATCTCTGGATTACAGAAAAATCATGAACTGTCCAGGAATGTATAAAACATGTGGGTCTACATCCATTCTTCCACCATACAAACTAAATTCTTGAGAACCAGAATGAATAGGTGTAGCTTTTACTATAAGATATTTAGATTGTTTCACATCAATACTAGAATGCAGTGACCCTAGGATTGCCACTATAAGATCTTCACCACCATGTAGCTTCTTCCTCATCCAGTGTAATGATTTTCTTGATCCCTCCATGTTTCCTTCGTGTATAGAGGGTGTGAATCCCACCTTTCTTCCCTCCGCCTCACATGACCCAATCCCCATAGTTTGGCTCGCCCCCTTCTTCGGTTGTCCACTCCCTTTGTCCAAAAGACCTCCCATAGTGGTCAGCCACCCCATTACCTTTACTATGAAGCTCCCTTCATGCCGTCCCCCATTCAAAAATCCTATTTCACCCCTTATCGGAGCCCTAGGAGGTAGCTCCTGACCTCTTCTCTAATGGTCCACTCCCCTTGCTCGAAATGCCTCCTATAGTGGTCGGCCACCCTACCACCTCCACAAAAAAATTCCCTTGCTGTCCGCTCATTTGGAAACCTTGATCCGCCCCTTATCAGAGCCCTATGAGGTGGCTCTTGTTGAAAAAAAATTGTCCTCATTGAATCTTGTTAGATCTCCTTTCTCTTCTCGATTCGGCCAAGAGAATACCAGTCAAATATTGGTTATGGTTAGCCATTAAAACAATTAGTGGAGTTTTTTATTTCATCTCTAAGAGCTTCCTCATTATCTTCTCTAAAATTTCTTTTCCCTTTGGTTCAGCCTTAGGAATAGTCGGTGAAGCCTTCAATTACATCTCGATCAACTTCCTCATCATGTCTTCTAGGTTAGAAAGCCTTCCTTGGAAGGAATGATGAAAACTTCTTCTCCATGTTGGTTTTGATTTGATCAATCTTACTTTCCAATGTCTCCACCTTCTTTGTTGACATAGGTCCCCAAAAAGTGCTCTGATAACAAATTTGATGTGCCTTGGATGTAAAAATAACAAATAAAAGAGGAAAACAACGTAGGAACACCAAGATAGGGCTGATTTTCTTATTTCTTCTTCAATAATAAAGCAAGATACAATTGATCTATTATTCGAGAGGTAAATTAGCTCTCCCACAAACCCTAGACGCCGCTAGGAACTCACAATAAACACTAGGAAAAGAACCTCAGCAATATCATACCCTAAACCATAGCAAACTCCCTCTTAAATAGCTCTAGAACATAATAACTCAATTAGAATCTTCTTAATAAACATAAACATAATTTAGGAAATATTTCTAAATAAATATAACCTTCTTAATCAACATAAACATGATTTAGGAAACTTTCCTAAATGATTAAATATGATTTAAAAAATTTTCCTAAACAATTAAGTATGATTTAGAAAACTTTCCTAAATAATTAAACATATTTTAGTAAACCTTCCTAAATAGCATAAACATAATTAGGAAATTTTCCTATACAACTCCCTTGATTAGGAAACTTCCTAAATACAACAACAACAACATCAAGCCTTTATACAAATCCATTTTTCCATTGTCCTGTTAAAAGTCAAATTCTCATTTAAATCTAATAAAGAAAGGTTATTTCTAATATTTTCTAACAAGTCTTTGTAGGTCTACCTCTAACTTTCTTAACATAAGCCAAATCTAATACATCTACTCTCCTAACAGGGCCATCGGAAGGCTGATGTTTTACATGACCAAATCATTTAAGATGACTCCCTCTAATCTTATCTATCATTGAAACTACAACTTTTTCCCGGATTTGCTCGTTTCATATCATATTTGTAAGAGTAAGTCCATTCATCCACCTAAGCATCTTTATCTGAGCAACACTTAACTTAATATTATGCTTCTCTTTTAATTGCCAATATTTTGCACCATAAAGCATTGCAAGACTCACCATCTTATAAAATTTTCCATTAAGATTGATTGGTACTTTCTGCTGTGAAACAAACATGCGATGGAGTTACTTTAAGAAATTAAAGAGAGCAATTTAAACAAAATAATCCAAAATAAAATTGTCACTTATGGCAAAAGTTTGATCCTTGGAATTCGTGGTTTTTAACTTGCTTAGGCAAAGAAGAGCAAAGTCCGTTAACCAAACAATTTAAGAAAACGCAAATATCAATTGTAAAACTATGACGGTAAACAAGAATACGTAATTTAATAATGAGAATTTTCACCTTTGGAGTCCATACGCTCAACTAGTCTAGGCTTTAGCGAAAGAAGAGTCTCCACATTAGAACCGAGGTCACTCCGAGGAAGAAGGAACCTAAGATCGTCATTCTTGGATAGGTGGCTGGAGCGGTGGAGGATGATGGTCGTCCGATGATGATCCAACGTCCCTTTGATCTTTGCTCGTCGATCACATCAACTAATGTGTACTGGATACGGTCGATGTAATCTTCAATAGTGTCGTCGAAATCGAAGCCCACGTCAAAGAACGGTGATTGGAGGATGTCAACTTGATCTCGATCGTCATGCACAAACCCAAAGTTCCATTCGGGTTCCGCCATGCATTCTTGTTGGGAGTTGAGGTAGCATCCGAGAAGAAGAAGAAGAAGAAGAAGGGGGGGGAGGGGTGGAAGGTGGCGGCTTGGTGAGGTAGAGGTTTGAGAGGCTAATGATCAACCTCAATTTGAATTTCCCTTAGACAGAGGAGGGAAATTAATTGAGAATTCCAATTAATCCCATGAGGGGCCAGCGGTTTTCAGAGAAGATAAGGGATTAATTAGATAGGAATTGATAGCAGGTGAGAGAATTTGGACTCTATGCATGGCCGACCATTTAGAAAAAAAGGGGGTTATGAATTGTGAGCAAGTGGGGCCCACGCACTAGTCTACTAATGAAATAGAGCTGAATTTATTCAATTAAATAGAGCTGAATTTATTCTCAGACTTCTGAGAGGAGGCGTTTCCAAAATTGGGGGAATTATCAAATTTGAATTGATCATTCAAATTAGATCCAATTAATATTGGAGCCACAAATCAAGGAGCTAATTTGGGAAGCATTTATGCAGCAATTTGAATTTCAAATTGGGATTGAAATCCAATTAAGAGGATGGCATACATTTAGGAATTAATTTTGGCAAGTGGGTAACAGCTCTTGGTGAATTTGAATTTCAAATTCAGAACCCAAGAGGGGCCGGCGGGTAGAGAGGTGGAGGGGGAAGGAGGCGGCTGCAAGGGGGGAGGAAGCCGGCGGGTTGGGGAAGAGCTGGTCGGTGGCTGCTGGTCGGCAGTTAGGGTTGCAGGCCGGCAGCCTGGGCAACCCAGGGAGGGGCGGCGGCAAGAG